GCCAAATGCAAAACTAGTGAAAAACAGTCAGAAAAGATGAGTAGGAAACAAAATGTCAGTGTCCTCCACCTGTAAAACCATTCCTGTTTTGGGGGTGGTCTCATTGTTGCCCATCTATTGCACCTGTTGTTAATTTCATGAACACCAAAGCAGCTGAAACTGATTAACAACCCCCTCTGCTACTTACCTGACCAGATCAATATCCCAGGAGTTTCATTGACTTGAAGCTAGACTCTGATTACAAAGTCTTCTTACGTTTATTTGAGCCGTGTATTTGAAAATTGATCAATGCGGATGTACTGAAGGCCGATCTCATTGCTCGAGGCCCTAAATTGCCAGGACAGTACAAATACCAAATTAACCAGGTATTCAGTAAGAGGCATGGTGAGTTTTTTTAAAGTAATTTTTTTGTCCAAATTTTTTGAAAAATAAAGAAATTAAATAATTTTTTCCCATTTTTTTTTTACTTCTTGTCACCAGTATGGCACAGTGTCATCATATGACTGGTGTGGTGGTATTCAGGGACACTGACTGGAGACCGTATGAAAAAAAAATTATAATAATAATTTATTAAATTTTTAAAACTTTTTATTTATTTTTAACTTTTTTTTTTTTTTTTTTTTACATCCTGTTATCAGAGTAGTACAGTGTCACCATAATGACACTGTACTACTCTGGGGGGTGATCAGAGAATTCTTTTTTTGTTTATGCTGTTATTGCTTCACTGTTATAAGCAATAGTTTTAGCTGTCATGAATGGGTTAACATTAGTGACACCTTATTTACTGATAATTGGCTACAGCTAATCACATGGTACAGGTAACCAGGTACCATGTGATAGCTGTGAGCCAATCATAGCTTCACAACACTAATCAAGCAGTCATGAATGAAAACCATTCATACATTTTTTTGTTTACATTCTAATCATGTGATCTTTATGATCAGTCACAGGTATCAGTAATCTGCTGTGTCCGGTGGATACAGCGGTCACAGGATGGCGCGCTATGCACCCATGTGCCAGGCGTCTAGGGTTTCCATCTCATCCCTTTAAGACCGAACATATATTAATTACACAGGTTCTGTGGTTGATTACGGTGGTAATTAAATTCACTTAGTGCATTAAATCAGCCCCAGAACCTGTGTAATTAATATGTGTTCGGGTTTAAAGGGAGGAGGTGGCAACCCTACAGGTGACGTACACATACGTGACTTTGTCTGGTGTGCTGCCCACCCGCAATAAAAGTACCATCACTTGAGATCATCACTTGTTTGCCACCTGAATGGGTAAACATCTCATCTTCATAAACAATTTACCTTTTACCGCCCCCCCCCCCCCCCCCCCCCACCCGTACACAAGACGTACTCCAGATTAGATCATATTTTTATCTCGGCCCAATGCACGACCAAATCTGAAACCACCAATCCTATACCATGGTCGGACCCAGGGGCAGACTGACAACTCATGGGGCCCCCGGGCAATAAGGGATCATGGGGCCCCTGTGTCCTTGCCCAAACTCAAAAAAGGCTATGAAAAAGGTACCAGGGGCATCTCATGGGGCCCCCTACGGACCCCGGGCCCTCGGACAGTGCCCAAGCTTCCAAATGGTAAAGTCCGCCCCTGGTCGGACCATGCTACTATCACCCTAGATTTGGCTCTTTCTATTGCATATCCCAGAACTTGCCATCGGAGGCCAAGAGTCCATTCACACTTGTGCGACTTTGGGGTCCAAAGTCGCACTCCATGTTTCCCAATGAGTACCATTCAAATGTATTCAACTTCAAGTCGCAGCAACTTGAAAGTAGTTCCTGAGCTACGTTGGTAAGACTTTTGGATGCGACTGTAGTCCAGTGAATGTAAAGTCAGATCAAAGTCGCGCCACAGGTCGCATCAAAGTCACACGACTTTGGAGATGCGCTAATGGGAATGGAGCCTAAATGAAACCCTTCTGAAATATACAGATACTTAGGAACATCTTTCGATCGCATTAGCAGACTTCTTTCAATCTAATAAAGGGATGGTGCGTAAGGCATCTACTTTGGGGGAGGCGCATAAAGCATTTTTGGGGGTTTTTTTTAGGCCAGTGTGTATCAGCTGGAGCTCAGCTGAAGCACGATAAATAATCATCATAAAAAATATATAAATAAATATATATATATATATTTTATTTTATATAAATATAAGAATCATACCCATCATTGCCGGGCCTGTCAGTTTAGGTGGACGGCCATGTTTTGGTAGGTTTGCAGCTGTGCCATACTCTTTCCATTTTCGGATGATGGATTGAACAGTGCTTCGTGAGATGTTCACAGCTTGGGATATTTTTTTATTTTTTTAACCTAACCTTGCTTTAAAATTCTCCACAACTTTATCCCTGACCGGTCTGTTGTGTTCCTTGGCCTTCATGATGCTGTTTGTTCACAAATGTTCTCTAACAAACCTCTGAGGGCTTCACAGAACAGCTGTATTTATACTGAAATTAACCCCTTGCCCTCCAGAGGATCCCCCCCCCCCCCCCCCCCCTTCCTGAGCAGGCCATGTTTTTGCGTTACGGTGCTGAGTTACTTTAAGTGACAATTGCGCGGTCATGCAGCGCTGCACCCAAATTAAATTTACATCCTTTGTTTCCCACAAATAGAGCTTTGTTTTCGGGGGTATTTTATCGCCTCCTGACTTTTTTTTTGCGCTATAAATAAAATTTAAAAAAAACGATAATTTTGCAAGAAAAACAATATTTTTGAATTTTTGTTAATTTTTTTTATTGGATATGTTTTATAACAAAAAGAAAAAAATATTGCTTTTTTTTTCAAAATTTTCAGTCTTTATTAGTTTTATATAATAAAAAATAATAAAAAAAAAAAACAGTGGTGATCAAATGCCATGAAACGAAAGCTCTATTTGTGTGAAAAAAAAAATGATATAAATTTCATCTGTGTGCAGTGTTGTTGCATGAGCACGCAATTGTCCGTTAAAGTAGCTCAGTGCTAAATATCAAAAAATGCCCCGGTTATGAAAGGGGTAAAATCTTCTGGAGGTAAAGTGGTTAACCACTTGCCATTCAGAGGATCCCCCCTGCCTTCCTGACCAGGCTATTTTTGCGATTCGGTGCTGCATTACTTTAACTGAAAATTGTGCGGTCATGCAACGCCGCATCCAAATTAAATTTATGTTTCTTTTTTCCCCACTAATTGAGCTTTCTTTTGTTGGTATTTGATCGCCTCTGTGTTTTTTTTTTTTTATTTTTTTGCGCTATAAACAAAAAAAGACTGACAATTTTGAAAAAAAAACAATATTTTCGACTTTTTGCTATTAAACACATCCAGTAAAAAAAAAATTTAAAAATCAAATTTCATCATAAATTTAAGCCAAAATGTATTCTGCTGCATGTCTTTGCTAAAAAAAACAATACTTGTAAATTAATTGGTTTATGTGACAGTTATAGCGTCTGCAAATGGCGGTATATATACTGGAATTTAAATTTTTTTATACTAGTAATGGCGGCGATCAGCAACTTCTAGCAGGACTGTGGAGGGCATTCTGACACTGGGGGGAACTGACTTACTGCCACTGACATCCCCAGTGACACCAATACAGTGATCAGTGCTAAAAAAAAGCACTGACACTACCATTGGCACTGGGCAGGAAAGGGTTAACATGTGGGGTGATCAAAGGGTTAACTGTGTGCTGTGTGTTATTTACTAGGGAGAAATGCTGTGCAGAGAGGTACAAAGCAGCATGTCCTTGCTGGCAGGAAAGAGATCTGTGTTGTATACACACAGGACTCTCCCCTGCCAGTTTTATACTCGGCGATCACCGGGTGCCAGTGGGGAATCTCTGGCTGGGACCTGGTGATTGACATCTGTAACCGCCAATGGCAGTGCTGGCAGGATGGCACGCCCCCTACCCGAAAATGCAAATCACTTATATATACGTGATTTTGCACACCCCTGCCGCCCTGTAGCAGTACTTCTACTATAGGGTGGCGGGCAAGCAGTTAAATGACACAGGTGGACTCTATTTACTAATTAGGTGATTTCTGAAGGCAATTGGTTCCACTAGATTTTAGTTAGGGATATCCGAGTAAAGGGGGCTGAACACAAATGCACGCCACACTTTTCAGATATTTATTTGTAAAAAAATGTTGAAAGCCATTTCTCATTTTCCTTCCACTTTACAATTATGTGCCACTTTATGTTGGTCTATGATAGCCATCTCCAAGCTGCAGCCCGGGGGGACAGATGTGGCCCTTTGCTTGCCTTTATCCAGCCCTTGGGGCACTATTTCATCCACTGATACCAACAATCCGGCATAATTCCTCCCATTTACATCAAATGAAGGGGGCACAATGCCTTCCAGTGACACCAGCGATGGGGCAAAATTTCTCCCCATGACATCAATAATGGGGTCCAGTGGCATCAGTGATGAGACACAATTCCTCTGACTGACACCAAACAATAGGGCATTATTTTTTCCACTGACTCAGGGACTGACATCAGAGATGGAGAAAGAATTCTCCTACTGACACCAATGACGGGGCATTATTTCTCCCACTGACACTAGGCATGGATAATAAATTCTCCAACTGACACCAATGATGGGGTACTATTCCTCTCACTGACACCAGCAATGGAGTATTATTCCTCCCACTGGCATCAATATTCGGGTACTATTCCTCCCACTGACACCAACAATGGAGTACTTTTCCACCTGTCAGGAATGCACTCAGCACTGGTGGTGGGACTCAACTGCCGTTTGGGCTGCAGTACCAGGGGCTGACCAGCGGGTGCTCTCAGCAGCCAGAAGCTCACTCCTGTAGTCAGCCAACACCTGGGCTGATTGCAGGAGGTGTATTTAAGGAATGACCAGGCCTGTGATCTGGGCCTTGGTGTATGTTTCCCATGAGCCCCTGTACCTGGTATCCTGTGTTCCTGCCTCGTTGCTGACCCTGCTTTGATCCTGACCTCCGCTGATCTTCTCCTGTTGAACCCCTGGCTTACCTGACCATCGTTCTGCCTGATCCTCGGTACTGCGCTGCCCGCTACCTGCTGAACCTGGCTTGTGACCCCGACCATTCTCTGCTTGCTCCTCCTGTACCACGCTGCCCGCACGATACCGACCCGGCCTGTCTGACTACGCTTACTTCACCCGACGATCCATCCACCCCGCACGGATCACCTCTAGTAAGTCTGCCTGCCTGCCTCTTCCCATCAGACTCCGTTCCTGCACTCCCCTGCCAGCAATGATGGGGCACTATGCCTCCCATTGACACCAGCAATGGGGTACTATTCCTCCCACTGGCTTCAATATTGGGGCACTGTTCCTCCCACTAACACCAGAGATGGAGAAAGAATTCTCCAACTGACACCGATGACGGGGCACTATTCCTCCCACTGACACTAGACATGGAAAATAAATTATCCTACTGGTGCACCAATGATGGGACACTATTCCTCCCACTAGAAAAATATACAGAAAAAAATAAATTCCTCCTGCGCTCTAAAGGAAGTGTATCCAACTGTAAAGTTGCCAACACCCTCCCTGGACCCCAATGACCTGAACAACCTCAGACCCATCTACCTGCTCCCATTCACATCCAAACTCCTCGAGCGCTTAATCTACACCCGCCTAAGCTCTCACCTCAATGACAACAACCTCCTTGATCCCCTACAGTCCGGCTTCCGTCCCCTACACTCCACCGAAACTGCCTTACTCAAACTCTCCAACGACCTTCTAACCGCCAAAGCTAATGGCCACTATTCAGTGCTCCTACTCCTCGACCTCTCCGCGGCCTTTGACACAGTCGACCACCCCCTCCTCCTCAAAAAACTACACTCCCTCGGCCTCAGAGATTCTGCTCTTTCCTGGCTCTCATCCTACCTGTCACAACGCTCTTTCAGCGTTACCTATAATGCTACCACCTCCCCCTCACTCCCCCTGTCAGGGCTCCCGGGTATGACCAGAGGTGTGTGACTGATGCAGGGAAACGCAGACTTCAGATATATTATAAACAATATAATTTATTAACACTAACAATACAAACATAAACGCAGTGCAATACTAAAACATAACACAGTGCAAACAAACCAAACCAACCACTCCACAGATAACAGTACATACAATGCAAGCGTCGTCAGGCAGGGCGGGTCAATATCAATCGGGCAGGTAGGTACAGGGGGAGCAAGCAGGGAATGGTCGGGGTCACAAGCCAGGTTCAGCAGGTAGCGGGCAGCGTGGTACAGAGGGTCAGGCAGAGGGATGGTCAGGAACGAGCCGGGGTCAGAGCAGGAGAAGTCAGCAGAGGTCCAAATCAGGCAGGGTCAGCAACAAGATAGGTACAGGATACAGGGGCCCAGGAAACCACACACCAAGGCAGAGTCTGCAGGTCTGGCCATCCCTTAAATACACCAGTATAAGCAGTTTCAGGTGTTTAGCTGGCTGCAAGGTTGAGTCTCTGATTGCTGGGAGCACCCGCTGGCCAGCCCTGGTACTGCAGCTCATAAGGCAGGTGAGTCCCACCATTGCTGGCCAGTCCATTCCTGACACCCCCTCTCTGTTGGGGTCCCTCAAGGCTCCATCCTTGGGCCCCTTCTCCATCTACACCTCCTCCCTTGGCCAACTCACACACTCTCATGGCTTCAACTACCACCTCTATGCCGACGACACACAAATCTATCTCTCAACCCCCCACCTCACCCCTCGGTCTCTGCCCGAATCACACACCTACTGAGCGACATATCAGACTGGATGTCGCTCCACTTCCTTAAACTGAACCTCTCCAAAACCGAGTTTCTTGTCTTCCCCCCAGCCCGGACCCCACCCCCCATTGACTTCTCCGTCACATCCAACAACGCCACCATCAAACCCGCCCCGCAGGCCAGAGTACTTGGTGTCATTCTGGACTCCAACCTATCCTTCCAGCCCCAAGTCCAATCTTTAACAAACTCGTGCAGACTCCACCTCCACAACATCGCCAAAATCCGCACGTTCCTAACCCCAGAAACCACTAAACAGCTCATCCACTCCCTCATCATATCACGACTCGACTACTGCAACTCCCTCCTCACTGGCCTGCCTCACCGCTGGCTATCCCCGCTTCAGTCCATCCTGAATACGGCTGCCAGACTCATTCACCTTTCCAACCGTTCCATCTCCGCCACCCCCCTCTGCCAATCCCTCCACTGGCTTCCGATTGCGCAACGGATCAAATTCAAAATCCTAACGCTGACGTACAAAGCTGTCCACCATACTGCCCCGAACTACATCACTGACCTAATATCCAAGTACCACCCAACACGCACACTCCGCTCCTCACAAGACCTCCTTCTCTCTAGTTCCCTGGTCTCCTCCTCCCATGCCCGCCTCCGGGACTTCTCCAGGGTGTCACCCATCCTCTGGAACTCCCTGCCCCAACCCATCAGATTATCACCTACTCTCCTCTCCTTTAGGCGCACCCTGAAAACCCATCTCTTCAGGGAAGCCTACCCCACCCCCTGCTAACTTGCCGACCTCCTCCACTCTTCCTACCACTCCATCCCCCACAGCTATCTCCTCCTGTGCCACCACCCCCTCCCTCCTAGATTGTAAGCTCCAAAGAGCAGGGCCCTCGATCCCCTCATGTTTTTTTTTGTTATTGTTCTGTCACATGTTCTGTCCCCCTTTGTCAGTAGCTAAGGGGTTAATCATCTGCATTGTGTAAAAAGGCTGTTTGATCATGTCTTCTCTGCCCCTCTTGTTCAAATGTCCACGCTGGTAAGGCAGACTGAATCCATAGCCCTTCTGCACATGCTCAGTTTAATGTCTATTGCTAGAGAAGGTTGTTTTTTTTTCTTGGGAGAGTACATGTGATCAGCACAGGGCCAATCAGCACTGTCCAGACAGAGGGTCAGGGGTCCTGCAGCCTCCTAGAGCAAAATGAAAACCTCTCCTACAAGATTTAACCAGTGCTCTGCTGGACACTGATAGAAGTCACAAGACTGCTCTAACTGCTGATGAGAAAAGGTATTTACCCATTTATATTTACTAAAACAATTGCATTTTCATGTTCTGTGTACTGTGGGAGACCAAGTATAGTGAATGCGGGGTCCAGGGAGAACGGATATAGTGAATGTGGGGTCTGGGGAGACCAGATATAGTGAATGCGGGGTCCGGGGAGAGCGGATAAAGTGAATGCAGGGTCCGGGGAGACCGGATATAGTGAATGCAGGGTCCGAGGAGAGCAGATATAGTGAATGCGGGGTCTGGGGAGAGCAGATATAGTGAATGCGGGGTCCGGGGGGGAGAGCAGATATAGTGAATGCAGGGTCCGGGGAGAGCGGATATAGTGAATGCGGGGTCTGGGGAGACCAGATATAGTGAATGCGGGGTCTGGGGAGAGCAGATATAGTGAATGCGGGGTCTGGGGAGAGCAGATATAGTGAATGCGGGGTCCGGGGAGAGCAGATATAGTGAATGCGGGGTCCGGGGAGACCAGATATAGTGAGTGCAGGGTGCGGGGAGACCAGATATAGTGAGTGCAGGGTGCAGGGAGACCAGATATAGTGAGTGCAGGGTGCGGGGAGACCAGATATAGTGAGTGCAGGGTCCGGGGAGACCAGATATAGTGAGTGCAGGGTGCGGGGAGACCAGATATAGTGAGTGCAGGGTGCAGGGAGACCAGATATAGTGAATGCCGGGTCTGGGGTTTAGTAATACTTTAATGACAAAGGCCTATTCCCCACGACCCTGGGGTCCCCAGTATGTGGATGACTAAGGGGGTACATTGTTGGTGTCATTTTGAAAAACAAGTCCCATCATTGGTGTCGGTGAGAACAAAGTGTACCCCCAGCCCAGCCTTGGTAACCAGTGGTGGTACTTACCTGATCCCACCCTCCGCTGATGTCGGAGTTCTACTTTCACTGTCAGAGAGGAGATGACGGCTCCAACAGTCTGGTATCATTGCAGTGCCTGGTGATGGAACCCGGAGAGTGTTCCAGATGTCATCATCTCACTGCCGCTCTGCACAGAGTCCTGGATCCTGAGGGATGAGGACATGATGGGACAGGAGACAAAATCCTGGGACTGTCCTGCAAAATTTTCTGGGGCTGAAGTTCTGCTGAGCTCCACAAGATGGTGACCTCACTTCTACTCAGACAGGAAGTCTATGGTATACAGACAGGAAGTGATGTTGGGGACAGACAGGAAGTTCTGGGTGAGAGGTGAGGCGGGAGGAATTAGGAGACGTTGGTGGAAGTGGCAGCAGAGGAGGTAATATTATTATTATACAGTATTTATATAGCGCCAAAGGGTATGCTCAGCGCTGTACATTATATGGGGGACAGAACATGAGACAAGACAGTAACAATACAATACACGAGGGGATCGAGGGCCCTGCTCTTAATAAGATTTCTATTTACACCCAGTAACCCCCCCCCGTCATGTCCGTCCTCTTCCTCCATAGTCACGTCCGTCCTCTTCCCCCATGGTCACGTCCGTCCTCTTCCTCCATAGTCACGTCCGTCCTCTTCCCCCATGGTCACGTCCGTCCTCTTCCTCCATGGTCACGTCCGTCCTCTTCCTCCATGGTCACGTCCGTCCTCTTCCTCCATGGTCACGTCCGTCCTCTTCCTCCATGGTCACGTCCGTCCTCTTCCTCCATGGTCACGTCCGTCCTCTTCTTCCTCCATGGTCACGTCCGTCCTCTTCCTCCATAGTCACGTCCGTCCTCTTCCTCCATAGTCACTGTGACGTCTTTTATCTCCAGCAGATGATGATACACACATATATAGTGTGGGAACCCAGATTAACCCCTTCAGGGGCACAACATTCCCCCACTTCCGGGGCCGGAACATTCTCCTCATTGTGGAGATGTCACCTTCTCCCTGGAGATGAGATGGACATACCAGGGTTCAGGGGGAGATGGGTCAACAGAACCAAAATTCTGTTTGGGCAGCAAAGTGGCTAAGGGTTAGCACTTCCACCGATCAGTACTAGGGTTGTTGGTTTGAATCCCAACCATGGCACCACTTGCCTGGAGTTTGCATGTTCTCCCTGTGCCTGTGTGGGTTTCCTCCGGGTACTCCGGTTTCCTCCCACACTCCAAAGACATGCTGGTCGGTGAATTGGCTCCTGTCTAAATTGTCCCTAGTATGTGTATGTATGAATGTGAGTTAAGGACCTTAGATTGTACGCCCCTTGAGGGTTAGGGACTGATGGGAATGTACAATATATATGTAAAGCGCTGCGGAAATCGATGGCGCTATATAAGGACCTGAAATAAATAATAAAATAAATAAATTCAGGTTCTGAATCCGAAACTCCCCCCATGGAAGTTAATGGGAGCCGAATGTTTAAAAAAACCCCAAAAAAACACAGTTCTCGCCATTTTATTATTATTATACAGGATTTATATAGCACCAACAGTTTGCGCAGCGCTTTACAATATAAGGGGGGGGGGGGGGGGTGGTACAATTACAATACATTTCAGTACAGAAGGAATAGGAGGGTTATGACCATGGAGCTTACAATCTAAAGGAAGGGGGAGGTGATAGCTGCGGGGGATGATCTGGTGAAGGTGATTCAAGTACAGTTCTTAGGTGGAGGTGGGGTAGGTTTCCCTGAAGAAGTGAGTTTTCAGAGATCGCCTAAAGGCAGATGGTGGGGGGCTGACCGGACATGCTGGGGAAGGGAGTTCCAGAGGATGGGAGAGGCTCTGGAGAAGTCCTGGAGGCGAGTGTGGGAGGAGGTGGTGATGAGGGAGCTAGAGAGGAGGATATCATGGGAGGAGCAGAGTGGGCGATTTGGGCGGTATCTGTGGATGAGGTTGGGGCAGTGTTGTGGATGGCTTTGTAAGCTGTGTGGTTAGTATTTTGAATTTTATACTCTGGGTTAGTGGAAGCCAGTGGAGGGATTGGCAGAGAGGGGCAGCAGTCGCTGATTGGCTGGATAGGAAGCAAAGAACTGTCAGACAAATAGCATGGGGAGGTGGGCACTAGCCTGGAGAACACATGGGTATGTGGATGCGCCCCCCCCATTTCCGTTGTGCACCCCCTGGCTGATGGCCAGTGGCTGAGTACCATCCCCTCGTTCCCAGACTCACGGCCGGCCCAGGACGTGAGTGTGCAGACTGGTGCAGTAATCTGTGTTGAGCTAAGGGCAGGCAGCGGTAGTCTGGAGAGAGGCTGTGGAAGGATGAGTAATTAGGGCGGATATGTGCGAGGAGGAGGGATTGGGGGGGGATATGTGCGAGGAGGAGGGATTGGGGGGGGATATGTGCGAGGAGGAGGGATTAGGGGGGATATGTGCGAGGAGGAGGGATTGGGGGGGATATGTGCGAGGAGGAGGGATTAGGGGGGATATGTGCGAGGAGGAGGGATTAGGGCGGATATGTGCGAGGAGGAGGGATTAGGGGGGATATGTGCGGGGAGGAGGGATTAGGGGGGATATGTGCGAGGAGGAGGGATTAGGGGGGATATGTGCGAGGAGGAGGGATTAGGGGGATATGTGCGAGGAGGAGGGATTGGGGGGGATATGTGCGGGGAGGAGGGATTAGGGGGGATATGTGCGAGGAGGGGGGATTAGGGGGGATATGTGCGAGGAGGAGGGATTGGGGGGGATATGTGCGAGGAGGAGGGATTGGGGGGGATATGTGCGAGGAGGAGGGATTGGGGGGGATATGTGCGAGGAGGAGGGATTGGGGGGGATATGTGCGAGGAGGAGGGATTGGGGGGATATGTGCGAGGAGGAGGGATTGGGGGGGATATGTGCGAGGAGGAGGGATTGGGGGGATATGTGCGAGGAGGAGGGATTGGGGGGGATATGTGCGAGGAGGAGTGATTGGGGGGGGATATGTGCGAGGAGGAGGGATTGGGGGGATATGTGCGAGGAGGAGGGATTGGGGGGGATATGTGCGAGGAGGAGGGATTGGGGGGGATATGTGCGAGGAGGAGGGATTAGGGGGGATATGTGCGAGGAGGAGGGATTAGGGGGGATATGTGCGAGGAGGGGGATTAGGGGGGATATGTGCGAGGGAGGGGGATTAGGGGGGATATGTGCGAGGAGGAGGGATTGGGAGGATATGTGCGAGGAGGAGGGATTGGGGGGGATATGTGCGAGGAGGAGGGATTGGGGGGGATATGTGCGAGGAGGAGGGATTGGGGGGATATGTGCGAGGAGGAGGGATTGGGGGGATATGTGCGAGGAGGAGGGATTGGGGGGGATATGTGCGAGGAGGAGGGATTGGGGGGATATGTGCGAGGAGGAGGGATTGGGGGGGATATGTGCGAGGAGGAGGGATTGGGGGGGATATGTACGAGGAGGAGGGATTTGAGGGAATATGTGCTTGAAGAGGGGATTGAGAGGTATGTGCTATGAGGAGGGATTAGGGGGGATATGTGTTAGGATGGGTAGGGGAAGGATATGTGCTAGGAGGTGAAAAGAGGGGGCTATGTGCTATGAGAGGGATTGGGGAATATGTGCTAGGAGGGGATTGGGGCTGATATGTGCAGGAGGGGGATTGGGGCTGATATGTGCAGGAGGGGGATTGGGGGCTGATATGTGCAAGGAGGAGGGATTGGGATTTTTTACTAAGGGGGTGAGGGATTTGGGCTAAGAGGGAGGTGGGGGAATTTGGGTTAAGAGGAGAGGGCTGTGGAGGATTTGTGCTAGGAGGGAGAATTTGGGGGGTTTGGGTGTGGAGGGAGGATTTGTACCACTCGAATACTTCCACCTGACAGGTGAGCCTGCTGCTTGCCCGCAGCAGGACTAAAGGTTGGATTCCTACCGCCCAGAACTACATGTCCCAAGTGTCGGGCGGTAGGTAGGAATCCAACTTTCTTGTACACACTGTGCAGATGGATGCCGTGTCTGTAAGGGAATCTGATCTCTGCTAAGCGCTGTGTGTGTGGAGGAGCTCTGGGTACACAGGCTGTTTGCAGTGTGGGGAAGGGAGGAGGAGATCCTGCTGAGTGCTCTGCCAGCAGTGACCCTGTCCTCTTCTCTGCTGATCAATGTCTTATGCTCTGCTGACTCCTGTCCTCTGCACTGCTGACCTGACAACCCTTTTCTCCACCCTGCTGACCCTCTGTACACTCCCCTGCTGCTGACCCTCTGTACACTCCCCTGCTGACCCTCTGTACACTCCCCTGCTGACCCTCTGTACACTCCCCTGCTGACCCTCTGTACACTCCCCTGCTGACCCTCTGTACACTCCCCTGCTGACCCTCTGTACACTCCCCTGCTGACCCTCTGTACACTCCCCTGCCTGACCCTCTGTACACCCCCTTGCTGACCCTCTGTACACTCCCCTTGCTGACCCTCTGTGCACTCCCCTTGCTGACCCTCTGTACACTCCCCTGCTGACCCTCTGTACACTCCCCTGCTGACCCTCTGTGCACTCCCCTTGCTGACCCTCTGTGCACTCCCCTTGCTGACCCTCTGTACACTCCCCTGCTGACCCTCTGTACACTCCCCTGCTGACCCTCTGTACACTCCCCTTGCTGACCCTCTGTACACTCCCCTGCTGACCCTCTGTACACTCCCCTTGCTGACCCTCTGTGCACTCCCCTGCTGACCCCCCTGCACACTGTCCTCTGCTCTGATAACCCCCTGTACACTGTCCTATAAACTAATGACCTCTGTAGACTGCCCTATAAACTGCTGACCCTATCCTCTGCCCTACTGGCCCCCTGTACACTGCCCTACTGACATCACATCCTCTGCCCCTGAGAATTTTTACTGCACCCCTACATCAGACTGTCTAGATCTGGCCCTGCATGGGTAGCAAGTAGATTTGGTGGTAGTTAGCAATTTTTGTAGTTCTTAAAGGTGAAACATTAAAAAAAATCTACATTCCTTTAAATCCCATGTCTGGAGGATGTCCTGACCCGGCCTGTGAAGTGGTGTATCCGTACGATGTATACAACCCACTACAGCAGCGGTTCTCAACCTGTGGGTCACGACCCCTTTGGGGGTCGATCGGCCCTTTCCCGGGGGTCGCCAGACTCGGGGGGTCAGACTCATGACAGCAGCCGGCACGGTGCCGCTCTTTCTGTGTGTCATGTGTGTGCTGTGTGTGTGTAGATCGGACCTTAGAGGACGGGCGGACGCTTATGCTGGTGCACAGGAAGTGATGTCATATCTTCCTGTGTTTGAAGGAGCTGGATTCCCGGGCTGGTAAGTCGGGTCTGATGATTTTGCTGCACCCGGAGGGTAGACACTGTACCAGCACCACCGCTACCCACAGTTAGGTAAAGGGGCGCCCGCGGTGCTGCAAAGCCACTGCAACCAATGTTATAAAATGGGTTTTGGAGGGATCCACCACTGATCAATATATTTTGTATGGGGAGTGATACACTGAGCCACCAATGATTTATTTATTTTTTTGGGGGGGTCTGAGCCACCAATGATTTTTTTTTTTTGGGGGGGGGAATAGAGTGTTGTGATTGACTGCTTTCATTGCTGTTCGTCAGACAGGTGGGTGTGGTGTCAGAAGAAAATCCCCAGCGATTGCAAGCGCTTTTCACAGGTTTGCTGGCGTTTTTTTGTTTTGTTTTTTTTTAACTAGTAGCCGACCGCAGATAGCCAAATGATGGCTTCACCGTCACCGCGGCCGGCCAGTTCTGGGTGGACGTCATATGACGTCCTCCCAGAACGCGCTCTCCTGCGTGCCCCAGGGGGTGCGCACCCGGCGATCTCCGTGATCGCTGTGTCCTACGGACACAGCTGATCACGTGATGTGGTAAAAGGCCGATCCCAGCGGCCTTTTACCACGTGATCAGCGGTGTCCAATGACACGCTGATCAGAGGGAAATGCAAGTGCCGGTTCTCGGCTGCACTTTCCTCACGCTGTCAGATCGTGAGGAAAGTACTGCTGAGAACCGGCAGTTGTCACAGCGGGGATCGGCACCGATCATCAGGACACTGATGATCAGTGCCCTGATGATCGGTGCCCAGCAGTGCCACCCGCAAGTTCCGCCCACCTGTGCCCAGCAGTGCACCCACTAGCTCCGCCCACCTGTGCCCAGCAGATCACCCACCTGTGCCCAGCAGTGCACCCACCTGTGCCACTCTGCAGTGTCACACACCTGTGCCCATAAGTGCCACCTACCTGTGCCCAGAAGTGCCACCCACCTGTGCCCACCCACCTGTGCCCATCTGTGCCACCCACCTGTGCCCACCCACCTGTGCCCATCCACCAGTGCCACCCTTCAGTGCAGCCCAGCAGTGCTGCCAGTCAGTGCCACCAGTCAGTGCCCAGGGGTTGTGCCAGTCAGTGCCGCCAGTCAGTGCCCAGCAGTGATGCCAGTCAGTGCCGTCTATCAGTACCCATCATCCAGTGTCACCTATCAGTGCCGCCTATCAGTGCTGCATATTAGTGCCGCCTATCCGTGACACCTCATTAGTGCTGTCTATCAGTGCCGCCTATCCGTGCCCCACCTCATTAGTACTGCCTATCAGTGCCCTTTAGTGCTGCCTATCAGTGCCCATCAGTGCCGCCTATCAGTGCCCATCAGTGCTGCCTCATCAACGCACATCAGTGAGGAGAAAAAATACCTGTTTGAAAAATTTTATAATAGAAACAAAGAAATTTTTTTTTTTTTTTTTTCAAATTTTTTGCACTTTTTTTATTTATAGCGCAAAAAGTAAAGCGCGCCCAGCGGCAATTAAATACCACCAAAAGAAAGCTCTATTTGTGAGAAAAAAAATGATCAAAATTTCATATGGGTACAATGTTGCATGACCGCGCAATTGTCAATCAAAGTGCGGCAGCGCTGAAAGCTGGAAATTGGCCTGGTAAGGAAGGGGGTATAAGTGCCTGGTAGGCGAGGGGTTAATGGTGGTTTTTTGTTTAGTGCTGCCCCTGCGTAGAAATAGCAGATTTTTAGACTTGGTGACAGTTTTCCTTTAAGTTGACTTGCTAAGGAAGCTGGCTTTAATGTGAAGTATGTGAAAATTTGAAAACGTTTACTCAATACCACATATTCTGTGGTTATCCTTTGCACTTTTCTGCATTTATTGTTTTTTATAACTACTGTGACTATTGCCCCATACACACGAATGCAAAAATCGGACAACAATGGATCGTCCCTTTTTTTTTTCATGCTGGTCGCTGTCAGGGATCGCGGCTCCGGAATCCGGGATCGCTGCGCCTTCCCCCGCTCATGCGCACTGGCGGCAGATCACGCCGGGACACAAGCACTAGGTTCCCGGCGAGCCGCGGCTGACAGGACGCCGCGCGCATGCGCTCAGTAGGAGCCGCGGGCGCACCTCAGGCGTCCAATGACAGCCGGGGGCGCGTCCTAGCCGGCCAATGACAGTGCAGGGCGCACTATTTAAAGATGCCCTGCACTGTCACAGATTGCCGCAAGGTCTATCTGTGATTCTGAGTTCCTGCACCCGTCTAGTGACCCTGATTGACCCTGACTACGCTGCCTGCCCTGTGATTGACCCGGATTGCCTGACTACGCTGCCTGCCCCTGTGATTGACCCGGATTGCCCTGACTACGCTGCCTGCTCCTGTGATTGACCCGGATTGCCCTGACCATTCTACGGACTGACTTACCCTGCTGATCCTGCGTGTGACCCGACTACTCTTTGCCTGCCGATTCTGTACCCCGCTTACCCCCACGGGACCACGATCCGTTACCACCCTGCTGGGGCCGCCATCCTCTTCACATCTGGCTCTCCCGGAACCTGCATACGTCCCCGGAGGTCTCCTCAGCCACTGGTGGGCCTGCTCGGAGGTCGTGACCTGGCCTGGGACTGTTTCAAGTCCATCCCCACCATCAGGGGCCCTGGTGAAAGCACAGCCGGGGTTAGACCCCACGCTCTGGGTAGGTCTGTCAGTTGGCAGCCTGAGGCACCACCTGGCGGATCATAACAGTCGCACATCGAAAATAAAGTGTACTAAATTTACGATTCATAACTGTATATTACTATTCATAACAGTAGCAAAATTACAGTTATGACGTAGCAACGAAAATAATTTAATGGTTGGGGGTCACCCACAGCATGAGGTACTGTATTAGGGGTCGCGGCATTAGGAAGGTTGAGAACCGCTGCACTACAGGAACATGGACATTTACCAAGAATACAAAATGGCATTTTACCCACTTGCCGAACATTTACTGTGAGCGAGCAGCAGGTGCAGGCATGGTAACGTACATCTACCTTACCCGGCTTGCTTCCGGGTTTGGGGCGTGTAGGCACGTGCCTCCTGCTGACCTGTGCAGTGATTGGCTAAAAGCGCAAGATGGTCAGCAGGTTTCATCTGTAGCCAATCACAGCACAGCCCTGTTTGCTGTTTTTTAAACAGAACACACAGTATCTTGCTGTTTCTGCCTCCCTGCGCTCTTTTTGTTCAAGGAGAGAAGAGAGCGAGGTCTGTCTGAGTAAAGCAGCATATATACACGTGCATACACTTAACCCTTTAATTGCTTTGTCACCAGTGTCATTAGTATAGTGCAGTGGTCGGCAAGCCGCGGCTCGCGAGCCACATGCGGCTCTTTACACGCTTTAATGCGGCTCTTGTGTGCCGGGCGCCCGCTCCCCTCCCTCCTCTCGGGCGGCAGGGACTCTGCAGCGTGATCCAAAAAAAAAAACAGCCAGGGCAGCGCGCTCAAATGCAATGATTGGCCAGTCTCGCTGCCACTCACATCCTGATAGCCAGTGATTGGCTGTCAGGATGTGTGTAGGCGGGGCAGCGTGACGAACGTGAGAGGAGCTAGGCTCCTCTCACAGTCCACCCTGAAGACCGGGACGGCGCGGGGAACACGGCGAGAGGAACGCGCGGAGCAAAGGTAAGTGAATTGACACGGGGGGGACTTGGCTTACTACTTGCTACTTACTACTACTACTATATGAGGGATGAATTAATATGGGGGATGAATTACTATAGGGGGATGAATTACTATGGGGGATGAATTACTATATGGGGGATGAATTACTATAGGGGGGATGAATTTACTATGGGGATGAATTACTATATGGGGGATGAATTACTATATGGGGGATGAATTACTATGGGGGATGAATTACTATATGGGGGATGAATTACTATATGGGGGATGAATTACTATAGGGGGGATGAATTACTATATGGGGGATGAATTACTATAGGGGGGATGAATTACTATAGGGGGGATGAATTACTATATGGCGGATGAATTACTATGGGGGATGAATTACTATATGGGGGATGAATTACTATAGGGGGGATGAATTACTATATGGGGGATGAATTACTATATGGGGGATGAATTACTATGGGGGATGAATTACTATATGAGGGATGAATTAATATAAGGGATGAATTACTATATGGGGGATGAATTACTATATGGGGGATGAATTACTATAATGGGGGACGAATTACTATATGGGGGACGAATTACTATATGGGGGATGAATTACTATATGAGGGATGAATTACTATGGGGGATGAATTACTATATGGGGGATGAATTACTATGGGGGATGAATTACTATGGGGGATGAATTACTATATGGGGGATGAATTACTATGGGGGGTGAATTACTATGGGGGATGAATTACTATGGGGGGATGAATTACTATGGGGGATGAATTACTATATGGGGGATGAATTACTATGGGGGATGCATTACTATGGGGGATGAATTACTATATGGGGATGATGAATTACTATATGGGGGATGAATTACTATGGGGGATGAATTACTATATGGGGGATGAATTACTATATGGGGGATGAATTACTATATGGGGGATGAATTACTATAAAAACTTATTGAAACTAAAAAAACAGTGTACCATCCTATGTATTTTCAGTTTTAAAAATGTGGCTCTCAAAATTAAATTTCAATTGTGGTTTTGGCGAGATTTGGCTCAGTTGAAAAAAAAAGGTTGCCCACCACTGGTATAGTGTACACTATTTATTCACTAATCACGGTATTAGTATCACAGATAGCACCAGAGTCCGTGTCCTTTCAGCAAGTGTTAGTGCTAGATTGCCCGCAACACTATCTGTCACACTATAAGTCGCTGATCATGCCATATAGTATAGCGTTTGAATGGATCGGTATCCTGGTCATGATCAGAACTATACTAATGTTCCCAAAAATGCAGTGTTAGCACCAGGGGTGGACTGATCATTTGAGCACTCGGGCACTGCCCGAGGTCCCGCGGTCAGTAGGGGGCCCCACGAAATGCCCCTGGTACCTTTTTTATAGGCTTTTTGGAATGTGGGCAAGGACACAGGGGCCCCATGATCCCCTATTGCCCTGGGGCCCCATGAGTTGTCAGTCCGCCCCGGTTAGCACTTGCGTTTAGCTCCCCCTTCCCCCAACAAGTGCGGTGTCAGTATACTTTTTCTGATCACTGCCACCTCTGATTAATTGTCCACAAAACTGCTGTGTTAGCAAGATCAGACCTGTTCTCTGCCAACACTTGCAGTTATTTCTATTTCCAGCACGCAAGCAGTCCTGATAGCCAGGAGCTTTTTTTCCTCCCATAGTCGCCACCAGGTACCTGTAAATTTAGTGCCCAAAAAGTCCAAAAAAAGGTACACTAGTGAGGAGGCTTATAGGATTCTGAGCATGACAGAGGAGCGTGAAGGGGAGGCTCAGAATATGAACCTGTAGAAAGCAATGGCAACCTGACATGAAGTTTGGATGATGGTGAAAGGTCCGTGCTAAAATCAGACGTTCTGAACCCATGTTGTTGAAGTTCTCCAAGCACTTAATTATGTTCAGGTGCTGGTACTAGTTCTGCACTACATTTTGGTGATCTGGCAAGGACCAGCAGCGTAGTACATCCTGGCCTTTTAGACACCAGCACTGCAGTATTTCATTATGAAGTGGGGAGCACCAGCTGTGCAGTACAAGCTGGTGAGGTGGCTAGCACTAGTAGCATAATACAACAGCAGCCATCAAGAATTCGAGCACAGGCCTGTAAAGCCCATAGTAGCCTTCCAGAGGTGCTTGCAAACCCTAATTTTCTGCCCCCAGATTCAGCATCACCCATTATTCTTTCATTCACAGCCCAGTCCGGGGTTCAGGTGTAAACAGCCAACTTAACACCCCTTTACTTTTTTGATCTATTTTTTCACCAAAGACCTCTTTAATTAGATTTTTTGACCAAAGTAATGTTTATGCCCAAGAGTACATCGCTGCCAATCCAAATTCATACCTTGCCAGGCCATTCAAATGAAACCTATCACGTTTTCTGAATTTAAAACTTTTTTGGGCCTAAGGCATCATGTACACGGGACACTTCTGAACGATGAAAACTGACTGCTGGAAAACGTAGGTTAAAAAAAAGTCTGTTTAGACGCGTTTGTTTGCATAATGCACGTTTAGGAGAACCTCCCAAATGCCCAGAATGCACTGAAAAGTGGTAAATTATTTACTATTTCAGATTGTTTCAGAGAAAAACAGAGAGTAGAAGCAAGAGACAGCAGTAAGTGTTGAGATTAGCTTAGGGGTGAGTTGCTCATTAACATTTCTTTTGTTTCCAAAGGGCGGGAAAGGTGTCTGGTGGAGGGAGTCATTAAGGGCAGGGGGTCTTCATGAGGAATTTGAGGTGTGAATGGTCATTAACATATCTTTTGTTTCCAAGGGTGGGAGAGGTCTGAGGTGTGAATGGTCATTAACATATATTTTGTTTCCAAGGGTGGGAGAGGTCTGAGGTGTGAATGGTCATTAACATATCTTTTGTTTCCAAGGGTGGGAGAGGTCTGAGGTGTGAATGGTCATTAACATATCTTTTGTTTCCAATGGTGGGAGAGGTCTGAGGTGTGAATGGTCATTAACATATCTTTTGTTCACTCCAATCAATGTTTTGGTGTGGGAGAGGTCTGAGGTGTGAATGGTCATTAACATATCTTTTGTTTCCAAGGGTGGGAGAGGTCTGAGGTGTGAAATGGTCATTAACATATCTTTTGTTTCCAAGGGTGGGAGAGGTCTGAGGTGTGAATTGGTCATTAACATATCTTTTGTTTCCAAGGGCGGGAGAGGTCTGAGGTGTGAATGGTCATTTAACATATCTTTTGTTTCCAAGGGTGGGAGAGGTCTGAGGTGTGAATGGTCATTAACATATCTTTTGTTTTCCAAGGGTGGGAGAGGTCTGAGGTGTGAATGGTCATTAACATATCTTTTGTTTCCAAGGGTGGGAGAGGTCTGAGGTGTGAATGGTCATTAACATTTCTTTTGTTTCCAAGGGTGGGAAAGGTGTCTGGTGGAGGGAGTCATTAAGGTCACCTGGCAGGAGGTCTTTAGGAGGAATTTGAGGTGTGAATGGTCATTAACATATCTTTTGTTTCTAAGGGTGGGAGAGGTCTGAGATGTGAATTGGTCATTACAATGTGTGACAAGCTTGGTTGGAACATCCTGTGTTCAGTGTTTTGTCCATTTGAGTACCTTGAAAAACGCTTTGCATGCATTTTTCATCATGAAAAAAAGGCTCTGGATAGCATCGGGAACTGGAAGAGTTAAAAAAAATTTCAAATGCAAACACTTATAAACGCGATTTGCCGCGTTTTGTGTTTGAAACGCTGATAAAATCAACTGCTGAACGCAAGTTTTCTGCGTTCAAAAAAATGACTGTAAACTCAAGTGCCTGTAAACGAAGCTGTGTACATGGACACGTACGAAAAACATTAGGGTAACTTCAGGGGCTGTTGAAAAAAACCGCTGAACAGCTCCTAAATGTGAGTTTATGAGCTGCAGTGTACATGAGCCCTAACCCTCAACATGGGCATTCCATAAAGAATGAATTGCGGTCATATTGATCCACAGATCTGATTGATCATATGCTGCAAAAGC